TTAACTAAAATAATCCTTTTTTTTTTTTTTTAAAGTGCTGATACTTGCTTTTCCACCATAACATATAGATGAACATAGGCACTTACATGTAGATTTGGGGTGGTTAAAAATTCACTATCAGGGGCCAGCAGGTGGTTTGGTGGTTAAAGTGCCAAACTCTCACATGGTCAGCCATGGCTTGAGTCCCTGATCTGGTGGCTTGCTTTCCCACTTTCCTTTTCTCTCTCTCTCTGTTTCTTTCTGATGAGCATGCATATCATGTAACAAAATAAAAAAAAACCCTGATAAATAAAATAAAATAAATAATACTTTAAAAATTTCACTGTTATAAACACTAATTTTGAAAGACAAGAAATCCCTTATTACTTAAAACAAGTTTCGAAAGCATTTAAAAAACTTATCTTTTTCAGTGATGAGGAAGAAAAACAGGGATGCTTGTTTATGAATGTGTCCATATGTCATTAGACAGGATAGTGTGTAAAGTTTTAATAAACAGAGAAACAATTTGACATCATAATTTAAAATACATACAGTCTTTGGTCTATACATTACCCAATAGGTCATCCTTTTCTGCAAAATTCTGTTCTTCCCTGAACACACTCCTGGGTCACCTTCTTGCTTTCTACATGTTATAAGCACTTCTGTATCTCTCTAATCCCTCCAACAGAGCCGCAGGGGAGGAAGCTTAGTCCTGGGACTGCTCTTCATTTTGCACTCTCTCCCTCTAGACTGCACCTTGTGCCAGGGCTCTAAATGTCATCCCATTGTCAGTGATGCCAAACATGTAACTGTAGTCCTGTCCTTCCTTGAGCTTCAGACTAGCCTATCCAAGTGCCAATATGCCAGCTCCATTTAGATGTTTTTCTAATCCTTTTTATTGGTAATAACAGAAAATACCTGGATAATTTAAGGGAACAGAGGTCTATTCAACTCATGGTTGAAAACCCAAGGTCCAGGGACCGGGTCTGGTAGGGGTCTTGCAGAGTACTGACCACATGACAAGAGTGAGAGCAGAGGACAGCAGAGCAGTGTCCACATGTCTCTCTGTTCTGGCATCATTCCCTCTCTTTATAAACCCACCAGAACTCAGTCACGGGAACCCTGTCCTCCCATAACCTTACTCCCAATCTCTTTGCAAAAAGAGTAGAGTCTGAGGAAGGACATTAAGGGGAAAAATAGACAGTCAAAGCACTTATGGGACAAAGAAATGGTTTATTATCTGTTGAGGATAACTTTATAGTATTCAACTGGGCTGGTGAGAAATGTACATATGTGTAAATATTCACTTTGCAAGCTAAATAATGTGATTAAATGTATAAAAGAAATTGAAATAAAATTTTTAAAAATTTTCATTTTACAATACCATTATCAGATGGAGTTTTCACTCTTTTCATTCCATCACAACCAAATCAACATATGAATTTTAGGGGACATTCAAAACTATAGTGAATGTCTATGATACATCTTAAACCCAAGGTGTCTTCTGATCAGGCGAACTCTGAGCTTCCCTATAGTCTGTTCCTCCCCAGTCTATTCTCCTTATAAAGTCGTACTCACTTCCTCATCCCACTTCATTGAATAAATACCTACTTCAGGAGTCTTCTTTGTGTCTTCCTTTCCTCTCACTCCATTTGATCTTTTTTTTTTTTTTTTGGAGAGGTTTTTGCTACAGGGCGCATGCGCTCGCCAGACAGACAGAGACATAGAGACAGAAAGTGAGAAATCACCCCCCAGGGGGGATGGTCACGCCGCAATCCTTTCTTCTCCATTCTCCTCTCAGGATCTTGGGCACGCACGCACACGCGCCCGGCATGAGTTTTAAGCCACTGGGTCCGGGATGCAAACCGCGGTCGACTATGTGGGAATCCAGCAACATAGCCATTACGCTAATTGCTGGTTCCCACTCCATTTGATCTTTAACATATATCTAAATCATTCTCTTTTCTCCAACAGCCTAATCCAAGCCCTATCATCTCTTGATTTTCCATCTACCTCTTCATTTGTCTTTCTATTTCAAATGTCTTCTCTACCCTGCACCTGCCCCTTCCCCCACAGCAAAGTAATTGATTAAATAGGCAATGACACCATTTCATTCCCTGGTTGGAAACTCCTCAACAGCTTCCTACTGTACTTAGGAGGATAATTTCCAAATTTAGCCTTAGTCTTCAAGGCTTTACATGACTTAACTCCTGCCTCCCTCTCTATCTCCTCTCCTCCCTTCTCCTCTAACTTATTAGCCTATGGACCTTACAGCATAACTCAGGACAGTCCCACATCTGAACCAGAGCAACCACTGTTCCCTCTTTGAAACAGTCTTCCTGGCCTCTTTCAATCTCACCTCTTTTTCATCTTTCTTTTTCACCTTAAATGTCATCCTTTCATTTTAGCTAATGTAGTTCCCCCATCCTTTTACTCTTGTTCACATCTCCCTTTATTTTTAAGAGAGATTTTTGCTGTAGGATGCATGCACTCACTGAAGAAACAGAGAGAGAGAGATAGACAGAAAACCAGAAACCATCTCCTGGGGGGATGACCACATCATAATCCCTTCTCCTCCATTTTCTTCTCAGGACTTGGGTATGTACCTACACGTGCCTAGTGTGAGTTTAAGCTGCCGGGACTGGGATTCGAACTATGATTGACTATGTGGGAGTTCAGTGATGTAATGCCATCTGCTGGACCCAATACATCTCCTTTTCTAAAAAAATTATTTGTTTAATCTTATTTATTATTATTATTTTTAAAATATTGGTCTGAGAGAGAGATGAGAGAGAGAGGGAAGTGAGAAAGCAAGCCACTGGGTCCAGGACTCAAACCACAGTTGACCAGATGGGACTTAAGCACCTTTAACAATCATGTCGCCTGCCAGTCCCACACATCTCCCTTTTTAAGTCCCTTCACAACTATTAAATTCACTCTGTTTAAACTTACCCAAATTGCATACTGCTCATCTTCCCACTATATGTAAGCTTTATGAAGATAGAGGCATTGTTAGTTTTATTACCAAGGGATCCTCATTCTCTAGAACATTATTCAACTTATTGATCATATGAATATATTAATAAATTTTATTGTTTTTATTTTAAAAAATTTTAATTTTATACGTTCAGTCAACAACAGCTGGTAAAATGAATTTATTGTTTTATTTTTTAAAAAGTATTTGCAAGGTGGCATGTGTGCTCACCAGCCTAAGAAAGAGAGACAGAGAGACAGAGAGGGAGAAAGCACCTGCCATGGAGAATGATTATGCAGTAATTCCTTCTCTTCATTTCTTCCTTCTTTAAGGATTCTAGGCACATGGTCACATTCACCCAGTGTGTTTTTCAGGTTGTTGTATCTGGAACTCAAAGTGTGCAGTTGGCCATGTGTAATCTAGTTCCCTTAACCACCAAGCCATGCCTTGGCCCTTAAAGTATTATTAATTTTCTATGATAAAACTTAGAGTCCTTCAAAAATTTTTGAATACTTTGGCTTAGCCCATGTGTAACTTTTTTTAAAAAAAGTTTTTTATTTGACCAGACAAACACACAGACACACACACATACACACTCACACACAGAGGGAAAGTGAGAAAGGAAGCCATGAGGTCTAGGACTCGAACTGTGGTTGGCCATGTGGGAGTGTCCAGAGTCTTAACCACCATATCACCTGCTGGTCCCTGCCCATGTGTAACTTTTTCTGATATTGTAAGACACAGATTATTGAAGATTTGTTACATTTCCTTCTTGTGTACTTTTAAATTCTAGTGTAGGAAACTAATCTACAAATCTACCAATCTTTATAGTTCAGTTTTTCAACATTTTCTTTGCATGATTTCTTCAACTTATCAACTAAATTAATGATAGAAGTTAATAGTTTCTTTGTGTGGCGGTTAAGGTGGCTGGATTCCCACATGGCAGGCTGCAGTTCGAGTGCCAGACCCAGTAGCTTGAAACTCATGCTGGGTGCTTGTGCATGTATGCCCAAAATCCTGAGAGAAGAATGGAGAAGAAGGGACTGTAGCATTGCCATCCCTCTAGGGGCATGATTTCTTGCTTTCTGTCTCTGTCTCTCTAGTGAGTGCATGTGCCCTATAGCAAAACAAAACAAAACAAAACAAAACAAAAAACAAAATAAGACAAACCACAAAAACAAAAACAAAAAGCCTCTCAAAAAAAAAAAAAAAGAAATTAGTAGCTTCTTCCTAGAAATGTTGTTATATTATGGTAAAAGTAGGAGCACACCCCACACCCACACACATCCACACACATCCAAACCTAATTTCTTTGAGCTGGCTGAGAAAGCTTTAAACTTCATTTCTTTCTAGATTAACTAGTGATTGTTTCATATGTTTTTGCCTCATTCATTTAACAAGTCCTCTTGCATTTATTTTTGACAGGCACAAGACAGGAATTCCATCATTGGAGAAACGTATAGATGGCCTCATACCATTCCATATGTTCTAGACGATAGCTTGGGTTAGTATCCACTTTGGAGTATACATAAATAAAACATGTTCCTGACAGAAATTGATGCTGCTGCTTCTGAGGGTAGGCTGATACGGTCTTTAAGGTTTTGTTTATTTGTCCCTTTGTGTGCTAGATACATTTACTTTAGAAAATAAGCAAAACAGACAATGAAAAGCACCTAAACGATTCTAGCTGAAATATTTGCTTGTTTTGACAACATAGGGATTAATTCAAGCAACATTTATGGGAAAGCTGCTCTGTATTGGACACTAGGGACGCGAGGATTAGGGAGCTAGTCTTTTAAAAGAGTAGCTTCCCATATGTTCAGATTTTATATGTCAGGAAAAAAAAAAAAAACACAACCAAACAAAGCTTTAGGGACTGGCACTGTGAAGTTCATTCATTTTGCTTAGGAGAGACAGTGCATGAGAGGAGGAGGAAGGAGGCACTCCCGACAGCGTCTTGTCACATGGCACTGCCTTTTCCCAGCCCTGCATGCACACCTGCCGAAGACCTCACTATCATTTATCATCATGTTTTCCCAAAAATAAATCATGTTTTTAGTTTAGAACTGAAATACAGCGAAGTCAGGAGAATCTGATTTAAAACTACGAACAGCTTTCCTATGGAAGAAATTGAACTGTGATGGAAAGCTCTGTCCTGGGACTGGTGATGATGATGTCACTGACCAGCATCAGTTTAGGAACCATCGTTGGACAAAAGTTTGGGGGAAGAAACTCCTATTGTTTCCCTTTAAGATCATGCATTTCAGTGGAGATTCAGATAAACCAAAAGTTAATCATAATGCCTATGCCCAAAATCCCAAGAAGAAAAGGGAGGAGAAGGGATTGCTGTGTGGCCATCCCCCTTGGGGTGATGTCTCACTTTTCCTCTCTCTCTCTCTCTCTCTCTCTCTCTCTCTCTCTCCAGCCAGCATGCACACTCTATGCATGTTCTCTAAAAGCTTAGAGAACAAAAGTTAATCATAAAGAAATGGAATAAACATTATGATTAGCAAACAAAGAGCTATGAGAACACATTGGAGGGGTGTTTGACTCCACCTAGATATACAGGCATAAGCATTTGGGAGCATCTAAGCTGTAGGCCATCCATAGGTACGTGGGGAGGGAATGAGTGGGGCTGATATCAAACTTGTGCTCTATTTATCAGGAGGCCTTTATTTCTTTGCATGAAAGTGCAGTTCATTCACTTGGCCGCGAGCACTCAGAGCACCTGCCCAGGTGGGTGCCTCTCTCCACTTGGCACAAAGGCACCATGTGGGCTGATGATGCCACTGCTCACAAGGGAAGAGTGCTTTAATCAAATACGCCATGTGCAAAGGCATGGAGAGGGAGAAACCCTTACCTGGAATTCAGACCCCATTTCTGAATCTGATAGAATCCATGAGTGTGTGATATAATCCCTCCCTCCAGGTCACTCTCAGAGGTTTTTTTTTTTTTTTTCTCTCAATGTTGCTTTCATTCTCTGCCTTCTTAGGGGTCCATACCTATTCAACCCACTAGCGCCACTTTTATTTCCAAAGTAATGGTTATTTTTTTCTAAAAATTTTCCAGAGTGTGCATGTGCTCCCTAGAGAGAGAAAGAGAGAGAGAGAGAGAGAGAGAGAGAGAGAGAGAGAGGAGAGAGAAATAGTCACACCTTAATCCTTTCTCCTCCACGTCTCTCTCATTTCTGGAGTTTTGGGCACACACACGAGAACCCAGCATATTTTTCAAGCTGCTGGGTTGGGGAACCAAACTGCAAGGTTGGGTATAAGGGATCCAGTTGCCTTAACCACTACACCACTGGCAGGCTCCAAATCAATGATTCTCAAGTCTTATGGGGTCCTTGGACTCACTTGCAAATTCCGTGAAAGCTTTTCCTAGAAAATGTGCTTGCATGGGTAGGTATAGATATAGAAATATCTTTGAATACTATTTCAGGCTAGTCATGGATCCTCCCATCTCAAGGTCCAAAGATTAAAAGTCCTGCTGTGAGGCTTTAAATATTTAAATATTGTAACTTCTCAGAGGAAGTCTTATTTATTTTGATTGCTATGATAAAGTGTATACGTTCTCTGAGGTAAGGAAATGGCCTCTTTACTCTTTAGTAATGCACCACTAATGGGTTCCAAAGAAATATGAGGCAAATATAAGCAACTAGAAGAATAATCAAATATTAAATTGGTACTGAATACTGTTTTTTTGCTATAGGGCGCGTGCGCTCGCCAGACAGACAGAGACAAAGAGACAGAAAGTGAGAAATCACCCCCCAGGGGGGATGGTCACGCCACAATCCCTTCTCCTCCATTCTCCTCTTGGGATCTTGGGCACGCACACGCACCTGGTGTGAGTTGAAGCCACCAGGTCTGGGACTCGAACCACTGTCAACTACATGGGAGTCCAGTGACATAGCCATTACGCTAACTGCTGGTCTCCCTGAATACTGTTTTGTTTTTTTTTTAAATAGCCAAAGAGCACATGTACTCACCTGAGAGAGAGAGAGAGAGAGAGAGGGAGAGAGAGAAAGAGCACACCTCCTGGGGATAATCATGCTGCACACCTATTTCTCTCTTTTTGGGATTTTGGGCATGTATGCACACATGGCCACCATATTTTTTCCAGTTGCTAATCTGGATTTTGAACTGTGTGGTCAGCCATGTGGTATCCAGTCACCTTGGCCACCAGGCCACAGATTGGCCTGATTACTTTTTTTTTAATGAGAAAGTGGGGTTATGGGGGTGGGGGCAAGAAGAGATAGAGAGAGGTGTTTCCAAGAGACTTTTGCTATGCCCTGGTCCTCTGGCCCCAGTTTCCCGGTTAGCTAGGATTATAGGCATGCACTGCCACACCCTGTGTGTTTCCATTGGTCTGGGATACAAATCCACCCTTCCACGTGGCTCTAAGCATTGCACAGTGGAGTCCTACTGCCTGCGCCACTGCTCCCTGAGTACTAAATTCTGTGAAAATAAATACCCAACATTCATGAAGGGACTAACTCCAGACAAGCAAATATTGCACAGTCTATTTCCATGATGAACTGTTCAATGGTGATTATTATTTTTAAGAAAGAATTAATTATTTATTTAATTTTATTTGTTATTATTTTAAAATGTGAACAGAGAAAGTCAGAAAGAAAGAGAAAGGGAAAGTGAGAAAGCAAGTCACCAGGTCTGGGACTTGAACCACAGTCGACCATGTGGGAGTCTAGTTCCTTAACTACCATGCCATCTGTTGGCCCCAATGGTGATTATTTTAATAAGTCTATTTTTGTTTGTTTTCGTCTTTCAGAAATGAATGCCAAGGGAGTTATCCTCAATGCATTTGAACGCTATCGCCTGAAAACATGCATTGACTTCAAGCCTTGGACTGGAGAAGCTAACTATATATCAGTGATCAAGGGCAGCGGGTGAGTTGAAAAGTTAGTATTCAAAGGATTCTCAGGAGAACTGTGGGGCCTCGGGCATACCTCACAGCAGTTGCATCCAAACCACAATCTTGTGATTTTCACAAGATTGAAATTTATATCTTGTTTGTAATTTATATGTTTTTTAGTTTTTCCTTCAAGTAAAGCATGTATACGTTTATGTGTGTGCATGTCTGTATTTAAATTCATTTTAAGCTAACGACTCATTGCTTGAGTTAAGAAAGTGACGGTGTTATTCATCTCAAGCTCAGCAATTTAAAAAAATTGCTGGAGGGGGACCAGTAGCTGGCATAATGGCTATGTTGTTGGACTCCCATGTAGTCGACCGTGGTTCGAGTTCCAGACCCGGTGGCTTGAACTCATGCCAGGTGCGTGTGTGTGCGTGCCCAAGATCCCGAGAGGAGAATGGAGGAGAAGGGATTGCGGCGTGGCCATTCCCCCAGGGCAGGGGGTGATTTCTCGCTTTCTGTCTCTGTCTTTCTGCCAAATGCACGCACCTATAGCAGAAACCTCTCGAAAAAAATAAATTGCTGGAGGGCATGTGTGTGGGTATGTGCACACATGCAAAAGAAAAAGAAAGAGAGAGGGAGAGAGAAAGCACCCCTCAATGTGCCAAAGGGCGCAAGGTCATCCCCCAGTCCTTTGTCCTCTACTCCTTCTCACCATCAGGATTTTGGCACATGTGCACATCCTCCCATCAGGATTTTGATACATGCACATGTGTCTGGTTTCCAAAATGCTGGAGCTGGGATTTGAACTGTGGTTGGCTTGTGGGATCCAGGACCCTCAACCACTGCGTGTAGGACCCACCCACAAATTCAGCAACTCTGAGCAATTACTGACCCTGTAAACATTTGCTAATGGGCATAGGCATACCAAGGGTGATCTCAAAGATACTGAAATTGCCAGGATGAGGCTGATGAGGAATGTCTTACTTCTATGTAATATTTTGTGTTAGGGCAAGTTCTCCTAAGGTCATCTGGAAACTGCAACTTTTTTTTTTTGAGAGGTTTTTGCTATAGGGCGTGTGCGCTTGCCAGAAAGACAGAGACAGAGAGATAGAAAGCAAGAAATCACCCCCCCACACACACGGGGGATGGCTACGCCGCAACTCCTTCTCCTCCATTCTCCTCTCGGGACCTTGGGCATGCACACACACACGTGCCCAGCGTGAGTTTAAGCCACCAGGTCGGGGACTCGAACCGTGGTGACTACATGGGAGTTCAGCGACATAGCCAATACGCTAACTGCTGGTCCCCCCCGCAAAGGTTTTTATACCTCACCTAAGTTAGGAGAGAAGTACAGTATCCAGTTATAAAAGCAAGGGATACTACTCCAGGTGGGTGGACTAGCCAGTGGGGATCCTTCCCTGAGACCTCCACTCATATCTCTGTAACGTTCTCTTCCCCTTCTCCTCTATACGCTTCTGTAAGCTGCTGGTCTTCAGTGGGAAACAGGCGCGTTGGGAAGCAAGACCTTTCCATCGGAGCCAATTGCGACAGAATAGCAACTATTCAGCACGAGTTCCTCCATGCTCTGGGATTCTGGCACGAGCAGTCGCGTTCTGATCGGGATGACTATGTGAGCATAATTTGGGACAGAATTCTGTCAGGTAACTTTCTCTTGTTTTCTTACATTTGCCAAGGCTGCATTTCAGAGCACGTGCCTTCTTATCTGTGTCAACTGCTAATAATTGAACAACTCTGAGGTTTTGCTGTCTTCATTTAGCTCTAACCCAATGAGCTGATGTATCTTAAAATGGTTGTGGGGTTGTTACCCTAGAACGTTAGTACTTTTTATTTTTTAAAGAAGTATTTTATTTAACTTTATTTATTTATTTATTTATTTTAATTTGACCAGAGAGGGACAGAGAAAGAAAGAGAGACATCGCGAGAGGGAAAGTGAGAAAGCAAGCTGCCAGGTCCAGGACTCGAACCATGGTCAGCCATGTGGGAGTCCAGCATCTTTAGCCACCACGCTACCTGCTGACCCCAGCATTTTTAATTTTTATGCTTGAAGATAGTGAATGCACATGAGTTGAGGAGGAGGAAGAGGGGGATGAGAGAGCGCGCGCGAGAGAGAAAGGAACCTTCCAGCAGGCCTAGTTACACTGCAACCCTTTTCCCGCCAATTTTCCATTTGTTAGGATTCTGGGCACACACACGCACCCAGCATGTTTTTCAAGCCCATGGAGCTGGGATTCAAACCCTGGTCAGTCAAGTAAGATCTGGCTTCCTCTGTGCAATGCCTATTTGCTCTGCTATAGGGCTATTTCTTCCCTAGTATTTTTGAGCTGGATATGATCCTAAGAACTAGTTTCATATTTCCCAGAGTATATTCGATGGCGTGCTTCTTGTAATATGTTCACAGATGTGTGTAAAGAAGTTTGTAGTCAAATCAGTTCGAGAACTTCTAGGCTAAAAGAAATTAAACACAGAGTTATTTATACTGCTTTATGGTTCACGTCTTTCTTAGGCTGACATCAACCATAAATTTCCAAGAAGAAGAGCATTTCCCAAAGTGATCTGATCATGGCCTTTTTTTTTTTCTTTCTTTCAATATGTAAGTGGCTTGTGGATAATTTGATTTATTTTTCCATGGAACCCCTTTTGAGGAACATTGTAGTAGTTGATCAGCCTGAACTTGTTGTGGATTTGTATTCATAGTCACAAAAGTCTTAACCATGAACAACTGGACTCAGGTTTTCCACATTCGGCAGTGACACGCGCACCTCCGTCTGTGCTCCTGTGTGGGAGTGGTACTGTGTGAGGCTCTGTGGTAACTGCTCTGTGTGAGCGCCATCTTGAAATCACTGTTGTCCCTTCCCAGTCACTGATGATTGTAACTAGAGTAAGGTACAGCAGTAAATGAAAATATTTTCTTTTTTTAAAAAAGAATTATTTATTTAATTTCACTCATTATTATTATAATTGTTTAATTTGACCTGTGAGAGACAGAGAGAGCGAGAGCGAGGGCAAGAGCGAGAGAGAGAGCATGAGAAAGGCAGTCACCAGGCTTGGGACTCAAACTGCAGTCGGCTACATGGGAGTCTAGTGCCTTAGCCACCAAGCCATCTTCCGGGCCCTAAATGAAAATATTTTTACAGTAAAAGAAATCCATGGTCTCATTCTTTAGGATTCCTGAAGTCTATTTTTTTGCTACAAACTTCTGCCCACATTGGATAATATATGAATACTCTGGAGAGTAGTCACCTGTGTCCACAAAACCTTCCAAATTCAAGTTATCGTCAGCTGCCCATTAATATGATGTTAAGCAATATGGTTTCCTCTCTAAATGTATTCATTTTAGTTTTTTTTTTTTTTTTTTTTGAGAGAGAAATTTTTTACATAGGGTGCATTCACTCACCAGAAAGACAGAAAGTGAGAAATCATTCACCAGGCTTTAATCTCTTCTCCATTCTCCTCTCTGGAGCTTGGGCATGCACACACACATGCCTGGCATGAGTTTTAAGTCACCAGGTCTGGGACTTGAACTGCGGTCAACTGCGTGAGAGTCCAGTGGTGCAAGCATTATGCCATCTGCTGGTGGCATTATTATTATTTTTGATTGAGAAATCACAATTGCATATGTTAAAGTGGTACAATGTAATGTTTTGATATATGTATAATATGGAATGATTAAAACAAACTAGGACCAGCAGTTGAAGTAATGGCTATGTTGCTGGGCTCCCATGTAGTTGACCGCGGTTTGAGTCCTGGACCTGGTGCATGTGCGTGCGTGCCCAAGATCTCTAGAGGACAATGGAGGAGAAGGGATTGCGGTGTGGCCATCCACCCGGGGGGTGATTTCTTGCTTTCTGTCTCTTTGTCTCTCTCTGTTTTTTTGGTGATCTCATGTGCCCTATAGCAAAAACCTCTAAAAATATTTATAAAAATAAAACAAGCTAATTAACCCTTGTATTACTTCACTTATCACTTTTTGTGGTGAGACATTTCAAATGTAGTCTTAGCAATGCTGAAGACTACATTATTCTTATTACAGGGTCTCACTCTGCTGCTGTTTTTCTGTGTCACCTTCCTAGCTGGGACAACAGGCACACACCACTGTGCCCTACTCTTTTTAGACAGTCTCACTCTGTTGCTCAAGCCAGCCTCCGCTTTGTGATTTTCCTGCCAGGCCTAGCTAGATTGCTGAGATTACAAGTGCATGCCACTGTGCCTGTTTTTCTTTTTTGAGGGATTTTTTAAAATATAGGGTATATAGATAGATAGATAGATAGGGTGTGTGCACTCACTAGAGATACAGAGGGAGACAAAGAGATAGACAGTGAGAAAACAGCCTTCACGGGGCCGGGCGGGGGGGCATGGTCACGCTATAATCCTTTCTCCTTTGTTCTCCTCCTGGGATCTTGGGCATGCATGCACACATGACAGGTGTGAGTTTGTAGCCACAGGGTCCGGGACGCAAACTGCAGTTGGCCATGTGGGAGCTCAGCAACGGAGCTGCTACCCTTCTGGGGGTCCCATGCCTGGTTTTTTAAGTTGGTCGGGAATTGAACCTGATCTCCCATGTGATTCCTCCCGTGGAGTGTAGCGTCTGAGCATGGTGTGCCGCTGTGGCCGTACCATATCATTAACTATGGTCACCATGTGTTGAACACACTTACACACATTCTATCGGGTTGTTGGGGAAATCATGACACATTTTTGCATAGGAAAACAGACAAAAAGTCATGACTTTCTCAACAACCTTGAGGTCCCTGACTATGCCAATCCTCTCTAATGATTCCTGTGAGCATCATCATCCCAGTTCCCATCTCACCACTCCTCCCCAAATCTTTTTCATCTCCATTTGCTGTAAATAGCCCTAAACTTCCATCATTGTTGGTCAATGACCCTGACTGTTTCAACAACAGTTTTTATATGGAATCCTCCTTTCTGTTAACAGTTCTTTGAAACTCAGTCCAAATATTAGTTCCAACTTTGGGCTGAATGAGACTTAGCTATGTTCAGTATGACTGCTGGTATTATTCTAAGCTTGAATTTTACCATCTGAGATAGGAATCTATGAAACGCTTGAAAGGCAATAGAGTCACTGAGGCAGCGATTGCACTCATTTTTTATATTCTCCATCTCTAAGATAGGTATTTGGAGTCAGGTAAACCGAATTTTATGAACACCAAGTAATTAAAGTTATTGTTATTATTTTCTTTTATCATTTAGGCAGAGAGCACAACTTTAACACCTATAATGACCAAGTATCGGATTCCTTGAATGTCCCCTATGACTACACTTCAGTAATGCACTATAGTAAAACTGCATTCCAAAACGGAACGGAGCCAACGATTGTAACAAGAATCTCAGACTTCGAGAACGTGATTGGCCAACGGATGGATTTCAGTGATTCCGACCTCCTAAAGTTGAATCGGCTATATAACTGCTGTATGTGATGGGTTCTTGAAAGCAACTTCTATTTCTGTCTGCTAGGTAGGGAAAAAATGATGGCATGTGCATTCTGCTGAGCGCTACGTGTTCTTCTGAAATGACAGAAGTCTGATATTCAAGGAAACACCACAACAGCACCCAGATCCCAATCTACAACTGGGAAACAACGTTTTCTTCTCACAAGATCTATAAACAAATTGGGTCCCATAGGAATATGTCCCAGGCAGGTTTCTAAAGCGGTGATCAATCCAAGTGTGTATAAGTTTTATATTCAAGCCTCTTTCCAGCTAAAATGAGGTGTATGGTTGTAGTCTAAATGGGATGAAATAAACTGGGTTGTGGCTTAATGATGTGAATAACTAGGAGAGCGCAAACAGGTTTCTCCAAGTTGGGTTGGGGGCAGGCAGCTTATTCAGATCTAGAATTACTCAGGCTCTTGGTAGGGATCTGCAGTGAGTCTTCATCCGCCATCCTTAGAACTGGCCAGGTGTCCCTTGTACCATCATCCTGGTACACCTAGTACCATTACGATAAGCTTAGTTTTTATTACTTGGATGATCTTGTTGTCTGAGGGTTAATCATTGATTTTTTTTGTGTGTTTGTTTACTTTTGTAGCCTCTTCCTTGAGTTTTATGGACTCCTGCAGTTTTGAATTGGAAAACGTGTGTGGCATGATCCAAAGTTCAGGAGACAGTGCTGACTGGCAACGAGTTTCACAGGTTCCCAGTGGGCCAGAGACCGATCACTCCAACATGGGCCAGTGCAAAGGTAATAGGAGTGAGCTATTTCTACTGGGTCATCGGGAAATTCATGACGCATTTTTGCATAGAAAAACATAGACAAATACATCATGACTTTTCTGACAACCCCATAGATTTCCCCAGTCAGTGGCTCTGTTTTTTTTTCCCTTCACTTTAAAAGACTGGGATGTTATCTCTAATTTCAATCAGAAATTTTGATAATAATCCTAGATTGTTCTGAGGAAATGGGCCATATGCATTTACTGGGTTTGTTTTTCTTGCTACAAGTCAGAGCTGTGCTCTGGGATGCCTCTACCAGTGGGGCTCATGGCAGGACAGGATTGCACCTCCTGGAAGGACTCTTTTTTTTTTTTTTTGGAGAAGTTTTCACTATAGGGCATGTGTGCTCACCAGACAGACAGACAGAGAGAGACATAGAGACAGAAAGCGAGAAATCGCAGGGGGGATGGTCATGCCGCAATCCCTTCTCCTCCATTCTCCTCTCGGGATCTTGGGCATGCATGCACACACGCCCGACGTGAGTTTTAAGCCACCGGGTCTGGGACGCGAACTGCAGTCGATTATGTGGGAGTCCAGCGACACAGCCATTATCCTAACTGCTGGTTCCTCCTCCTGGAAGGACTCTTATCATGATGGTGGTTGTTTCCTCGCAGCTTATGGAATATCAGAGACTCTTTCCAGTGGACAGCACAGGGCTGCGAATGATTGTTTCAGAACTGTAGCCGGGTTCCTGTTACAAATGTTCTTTAAATGAAGGTAGAAAGAAAGCACGGTTTATTTCATCTTATTCAGATGAGTATCCTTTTCCATTTTGGTTTTGTTTTGATTAGAGTAGACATTTGATTACAAGTACCAAATGTATTTATTAGATTATTTCTGGCAGGGATATATAATCTACTTGATAATGTGGGTGATTAGGTAGGAATCCTAATAGCAAAAGGTGCTTTGCCTTTTCTTTCTCTCTTTTTTAAATATAATTTTCCCCCTTTACCCATGAGAGGACATGTGGGTGTACACAGAGAAAGAGAGAGAGGAGAGAGGAATCATCCTTCGACAGGGCCTGGCCATGCAGCAATCCATTTTCTCCAATTCTCCATCCCACGAGCCCCCGAGCACAGCTGTGTGTACCTTGTGTGTTGCCACTGGGGTCAGGATTCAACCCCAGCTGGCCATGTGGTCAACAGAGCGCCTAACTCTGTGCTACATGTCCACTCTGCAGTTTTTTCTTTATTCTCTCTTTATTTTTATTTTTATTTTTTTGAGAGGTTTTTGCTATAGGGTGTGTGCGCTCACCAGACAGACAGAGAGAGACAGAGAAATCACCCCCCAGGAGGGATGGCCACACCACAATCCCTTCTCCTCCATTCTCCTCTTGGGATCTTGGGTGCGCACACACATGCATTCAGCATGAGTTTAAGCCACCAGGTCCGGGACTTGAACCACGGTCGGCTACATGGGAGTCCAGTGACATAGCCATTATTCTAACTACTGATCCCTCCACTCTGCAGTTCTTGTAATGCCTGTTTGGTTAGTGGAAAGTGGTCTTAGACCAGAGGGAGGTAGATAGAAAGGATGGGAGGGGTGGAGGGAAAAAAGGAAGAAGGAGGGACCAACAGATGGCATAATGGCTATGTCGCTGGACTCCCATGAAGTCGACCGTGGTTTGAGTCCCGGGCCTGGTGGCTTAAACTCACACCAGGCACATGTGTGTGCTTGCCCAAGATCCCTAGAGGAGAATGGAAGAGAAGGGGCTGAGGCGTGGCCATGCCCCCTGGGGGTGGTTTCTTGTTCACTGTCTCTCTGTCTCTTTCTGTATTTCTCTCCAAAAATAAAAATAAATAAATAATTAAATTTTTAAAAAAGGAAGAAGGAAGAAACCAGCTAGCTCTTATTTGTTTCTGTTTTTGTTTTTAATGTTTTCAGAGAGAATTTTACTATAGGGTGTTTGCGCTTGCTGGAGAGATAGAGAGAAACAGAAAGTTTAAAAATCACTTTCCTGGGGAGGATGACGATGCTGCAATCCCTTGTCCTCCATTCTCCTCTCAGGATTTTGGGCACACACACACACACACGCACACACACTTGGCATGAGTTTTAAGCTGCCAGGTCTGGGACTCAAATCACAAACGACTACGTGGGAGTCCAGTGACATAACCATTACACCGTCTACTGGTTCCTTTTTCTGATTTTGAAAGCTAATGTCAGTAGTAAGAGAAACATTGTCTCTTTTATAAAAGAGGCCCCAGAACCTGGGCCTCTCCTGCAACCTCCAGCCTAATCAGTTTCTTCTCTGGGATTTTTGGGCACACATACACATGCACCCAGTGTGAGTTTTAAGCTGCCAGGTCTGAGACTTGAACCATGGTTCACTACGTGGGAGTCCAGCGACATAACCCCTACACCATCTGCTGGTCCCAGTACTTACAGTCTTACCAGGAACGTGCCTTGGGAGATACAAATATTACAGCTTCCGTGTGCCATCATTTCATGCCATTCTTCTGACTTCATTTCCATCTTCCTTTCTCATATTCTCAGAGCAGGGATAACTCTGAGGCATCGTGCCAGGCTTGGGAACACTTGAAAGGTGTTCCTTGCAGAATCTACCTTCTAGTCCTGCTATTTACTTATTTTTAAGGTTATTTATTTTAGTTGTTCTATAGTCACTGGAGCCTGACAGAGAAAGCTAGAGAGAGGGATAGTGAGAAATCACTTTGCCACACTGCAACTCTTTCTCCAACCTCTTCTCAGGATTTGGGGCATGTATGTACACATGCTAGGCGTGCCTTTTAAACCATGGCCCTGTGCACTACTTAACCTTAACCTCTGCACTACTTGCTGGCTCTATTTAAAATTTATTTATTTATTTATTTATTTATTTATTTATTTATTTCATAAGAGCAAGAGAGAAAGAGAGACCTCCTGATAGAGTCTTGCTATGACTCCATGCCCTGCCTTTGGCCTTCCAGCCTGTTAGGCCATGGGTGTGCCTACAAGATACACCCAGCATGCTCAGGAGGACCTGGGAACTAAAGCCAGGGCCCTCCCATATTGCTCCAGCATCATGTAGTAGTGCCTACCACGTGTACCACTGCAGCTAGGCCTGGTCCTGATAGCTGGACGTGGCCTGAAGCCTTATACCGATTTTTTTTCCTATTAGCATTGATACTTTAACTTGCTGTACATTCACTGTTTATAGCAAATGAAAGGTAAGCAAAGATCAGTGCTCACATGAAAACGCCTATGTCATAGTGAACATGTTATAAATAATAGCGGTTTGAGTTTCAGTCTATTATACCAATCCACGAGCATTTTCACGTGTTGGATATGTAGTTTAGGCTTTGGAAGTTTTCCCCTTGTGATTTATATATTGACGTTAGTTGTGAAGAACACCCATTTCTTCTCTCATTTCTGCTCTTGTCCTCTTCACAGATTCTGGTTTCTTCATGCATTTCAACAGTAGCTCTGTAAATAGAGGGGACACAGCGGTGCTGGAAAGTAGAACTCTGTACCCTAAAAGAGGATTTCAGTGCTTGCAGTTTTATTTATACAACAGTGGAAGTGAAAATGACCAGCTGAATATCTACATCAGGGAGTACTCCGCAGGCAACGTGAATGGGAGCTTAACCCTCGTGGAAGAAATAAAAGGTATGATATCAATATTTTTATTATTTCCCTTCTGAATGAGGCAACTTCTTTTTTTTTTTTTTTAAGAGGTTTTTGCTCTAGGGCACATGCGCTTGTCAGAAAGACAGAGAGAGACAGAGACATAGAAAGCGAGAAATCACCCCTCAGGGGAGATGGCCACACCACAATCCCTTCTCCTCCATTCTCCTCTCAGGATCCTGGGCATGCACGCACACATGCCTGGCATGAGTTTAAGCCACCGGGTCCGGGACTCGAACCTCGGTTGACTACATGGGAGTTCAGCTACTTAGCCATTATGCTAACTGCTGGTTTCATCTTACCTCTTAATGCAACAACGTACAACAGGATACCGGCTATTGGGTCACTATTTTTCTTTCTTTTAAAAAAAATTATTTATTTAATTTTATTCCTTCTTCTTATTATTAATTTGCTACATGACATGTGCGCTCACCAGAGAGAAAGAGAGAGAGAGAGAAAGCAAGAAAGCAAGCTACCAGGTCTAGGACTCAAACTGTGGTCGGCCATGTGGGAGTCCAGTGCTTTAACCACTACAACACTTGCTGGCCTGGCTCACTATTTTTCAACTTAGAAGATGATCTTTCTTGTGTTATGTCATGGTAAGGATACTAAGATGAGGATACTTTGTGTGCTATACAAAGAGTCTTGAAAAAGTTCACGGAAAATGTGTATTATGAAAAAAAATCTATGTATGAATTTTAACTTTTTCTCACACCAAAATAAACTTATATTTTAATTCAATTTTCCACAAATTTTTTTGAAATCCTTTTCTATTATATGACACTCACCTTAGAAACCATAGATCAATCTCTGGTACTTAGAAATCAGTTTTTAGCAACTAATAAAAATAAAATGAAAGCTATTAATAGCTTAGGTGAAGTTGGAAAGGTTACTGGCTTACCCTTAGTTGGAATCTGTAGAATCAATGAGGTAGAGATTACCTTCCAGGAAGAGTGGACTTACCCAGGGCATAGTTGGAAACCTTTTATATCTCAAGATGGCTTTGTCCATAAGATTGATGCTTTGGCTATTTTACTTCCTAGTTTATATCTTTTTTTTTTTTTGTAGAGGTTTTTGCCATAGGGTGCATGCACTCGCCAGACAGACAGAGAGAGACAGAGAGACAGAAAGCAAGAAATCACCCCCCAGGGGGGATGGCCACGCCACAATCCCTTCTCCTCCATTCTCCTCTCGGGATCTTGGGCACACACACACATGCCCCGCTTGTGTTTTAAGCCACCGGGTCTGGGACACGAACCACAGTCAACCACGTGGGAGTCCAGCGACATAGCCATTACGCTAACTGCTGGTCCCCCAGTTTATATCTTACCAAATGTGCCATCATTTCTGGAAAGGGACTCTTCCTCTAATTTCTAGCTTTAAAGAATAAATCCCAGTGAAGAATTCTGATGGCTATGATTAGGGCCAAGTATAACTTCTGGAGCAATTCCTGAGTGGCGAGGGGGCACCCACCTTCCCACCGATCATGTGTCAAAGATGTGGGTCATGCTGACTTCCTGTTAAAGCAGTCAGTTGAGAGGATTCTCTGAGGAAGGGAGGGACTCCGGGTTGGCAAATAAATTACTGTCTATTCCACAAATTGATCTCTTGGTTTGAATGAACTGAATAAAACCCATTATAAAATGGATCCACATTCTACTATATGTCATGCCATTTTTTTCCCCCTCTGTTTAACCATGAGAAACAATTTGAAATACAGATGATCTTTTTCATGAACATCTATGGGCAGAGAGGTCCTTAATGTCATTGAGAATATACATACAATGTACATACTCATTATGTATGTAATCACCTATGTGATTACATTTATACTATATTATATACTTTGTGTATATTAAAACCTTATGTATACACGAGCTTCATGTATAAGCTAATATGAATGTTATAGATTATACGTTAGTGTGTACATTAATACAAATATTCATGTGTTTATATATAAAACCATCCAGGTTTGGAAGGAGGATCCTTTTATTACTAACCTGTGGGTATATCATTAACAATGACACAAAAGGCATTTAAGAAACCTGCTTAGGAAACCATAATTTAAACAGATCATACTGATAATAATGAAGACTTTCATGAAAGTTTTTTGTTCACCCTAGAGTCCTTCCGTGGACAATGGTATTTTCTGTCATTTGGATAATTCTAATTTATTTTCAAGCAAATATGTTTTGCGTTAAGTGCTAATACATTTCAATTTTAAGTCATTGTGTTCATTACTAGCTTGACATGGATTCCTGTTGTCTATGTAGAAACTTCTGAAATGCTTTCAGTGTCCTGCTACTTGTTTGGGAATGTGATATAAGAAAATAAGATAAAATGGCATAGCTTGCGCTGCTAGCTAGGGATGTGGGATACAGCTGGGGAAAGTGCAGGATGAGGAGAAATAGGTGGAATCAAATATCCGGTAAATACTTAGGATGTTGACTCATTGGTAAGTGATCTAAGGAGTAACCTATAGGATGTGGGAGTTCTAGGGTTTGGTGAATTACCATTTACTTTTCCTAAAAAGGTGATTGAACATTTCACATGTGAGGGAAGTATTCCAAACTATAAATATACTTTAAAAGACTTGGGTTGATTATTACTAGAATTGGGGTACCCATGTTAAAATATTGGGCTTGCTTGGCCATTTAACTATTGGGTGGTCAGGAGTCACGATGCACATTTGCATAGAAAAATACGTCATGATTTTCCCGATGACCTAACTTGTAAGTCAGGCATGTTACTCATGAGTTTACTCCTGTCGTTTGCTCATCCCTCTCTGGAAAAAGGCAGCCAATTTGATAAACTACTATTAATAGATATGCATTCAGTTATTACTGAGTGCATTCTCAGCCCACAAAAATACCTTGAAGTGGGACCAGCAGTTAGCGTAATGGCTATGTCGCTGGACTCCCATGTAGTCGACTGCGGTTCGCGTTCTGGACCTGGTGGCTTAAACTAACACCAGGTGCATGTGTGTGCGTGCCCAAGATCCCAAGAGGAGAATGGAGGAGAAGGGATTGCAGAGTGGCCATACCCCCTGGGGGTGATTTCTCACTTTCTGTCTCTCTGTCTCTATCTGTCTTTCTGGCAAGCACATGTGCCCTATAGCAAAACCTTTCCAAAAACAAAAACAAAAACAAACAAAAAACATGAAGTAAATTACCCTGGCCTGGAGGAGTGAGGAGACCATATCTCAGTCCTGTAGGAACCAGTAGATCTTGAATGATCCTTTGTCCTAAACGTTAGGACTCTAATGTGGATTTGCACGAGTCATAGTTTTTTGCCTTCGTTGAAGTAATAATGACTCTTTTGCAGGCATACCCATTGGGAATTGGCAACTTTACCATGTAACGTTAAATGTGGCCAACAAATTCCGAGTGGTATTTGAAGGACTCAGAGGCTCTGGTGCATCACTGGGTGGTCTGTCTATCGATGACGTCAATCTTGCAGAGACACGATGCCCTCATCATATCTGGCAGATAAGGAATTTCACAGAACTGATTGGCAGCCCAAATGGAATTCTACATAGCCCTCCATTCTATTCTTCTAAAGGTTATGCGTTTCAGATTAAATTGGATCTTACAGGTTCGACTAACGCAGGGATATATTTCCACTTGGTCTCTGGAGCCAACGATGATCAACTAGAGTGGCCGTGTCCTTGGCAACAAGCCACAATGACACTCCTGGATCAAAATCCTGACATTCGGCAGCGTATGTCCAACCAGCGGAGTATAACTACGGACCCCTTTCTGACAACTGGTTTGTGACTCCTTTTCTTTATTGCTAATACATGGTTATTGCTCTAGGAGGAACAGAAGATTTGAGAATGAAAGTATACACAATCAGTTACCTAGGGAATTTTGAGTCCTAAATATTAAGAATAGAGGATATTTAGGAGTAAGTTTGTAACAGTTATGGACAGTTTTCCAGGCAGGAGATTGTTATGAATGTCAACAAGAACTCCAACAAACAGAGAAGGTATGACTGAATTCCCGGGGGTTGATGAACACTCCTGAATTTCCAGCGTTGTACAAGGAGTTTTGATTTTAGAGTCAGACATTCCTGGGTTCAAATTGAAGGTTTGCTTCTTGTAAGCTATGTAACCTTGAACAAATAATCTCTTGGAGCCCCATGAGATCACAGACATCAACTGTAAAACTGGCAGTGACAATAATCCCACAGATTTGTCATGAGAATCAGTACAGGTCAAGTATGGAAGCTTGTAGAATAGGCTGGTATGGGGAGGCTCTCTGATGTTTCCCTTCCCATGCCGCCTCAGTCATGTCACACGGATTGTCAAAATAGTTCATTTCCTGGAGTGGGGATATATTTTGATAAGAAGGAAGATGTTGGGCAAGTCTACTGAAATGCTGGTAGGAAGAGTGTGGAAATGAATACAACTTCTTATTAAAAAGTTCGGGAGGATATTATTCTCCATCTTTCCAGTCTCAAAAAGTAGGAGCACTTAGAAAACAAGGTTTGTGGGGCCAGCAGGTGGTGTATTGGTCAAGGCAATGGACTCCCACATGATAGACTATGGTTTGAGTCCCAGACCTGATAGCTTGCTTTCTTTGTTTCCTCTCTCTCTCTCTCTGTGTCTCCCTGATGGACACATATGCCCTAAAGCAAAAAATTAAGAAAAACAATTAAATTCCATAATTCCTAAAAAAAAGAGGAAGGTTTGCACTTTCTTTTAAAAGTTTATTTATTAACTCATGAACAAAAGAAAGAGAGAGAGAGAGACCAGCACCCTCAATAGGATCTCACACCATGATCCTTCTCAAGCTTTCCCGGCTAGCCAGGATCACAGGTGAGTGCTTATATCCCTGGCATGTGTAGGTTGATCTAGGACCTGAACTCTGGTCTTCCACATGACCTCCCACAATGCAGAGTGGCGCACTACTGCTCTGCTACTGTGCTGGGCCCACAGCTCTACTTTTAATAATCTGTTGTCCCTGGGAATCTAATAAAGGAAGCCATGGTATTATGGCAAGCTGAATATTATTGCTAAGTCTTAATTCTGTTTTACTTTTTAAATTTGCCACACAGTGTATGCACTTGCCCGAGAGAGCTGGAGAGAGAGAGAGAGGACAAAAACACCCCTTAATGAGGCATAACCAGGCTTCAGTTCCTTCTTCTCCATTTTCCCTCATTTCAGGAATTGGGGCATGCATGCACATGCACCCAGCATGTTTTTCAAGCTCCAGGTCTAGGATTCAAACCACGTGATTGGCTAAATAGGTTTTGGCTCCCTTAAGCACTAGGCCAAGAGACCTGCCTAAATATTAATTCTATACATAAGAGGAATGAACCAAAGTGACATTAAAAAAAAAACCACACACACACAATCTAATAGAAAAATAATATTAACTAATGAAATGGTAGAGATTTGGCATTCAGAATTTCTGAATGTCATTGGATGATTCAGCATTTGTCACCTATTTCCAGAAGCCATGGTTTGTCACCTTTTTCCAGAAGCCATGCTTCTTGTTGTCTTTTACTTTGCCCTGTTAGGTGAATAATTCAGTTAGTGAGATAAATTGTTACATGCTAATATTAAAAACTCTCTCAGTGGGACCAGCAGTTAGTGTAATGGCTATGTCGCTGGAATCCCATGTAGTTGACCGTGGTTCGATTCCCAGACCCAGTGGCTTAAACTCACGACGGGTACATGTGCATGTATGCCCAAGATCCTGAGAGGAGAAAGGAGGAGAAGGGATTGAGGGATGGCCATCCCCCATGAGGGTGGTTTCTCACTTTCTCTCTCTCTCTCTTTCTGGTGAGCATATGTGGCCTATAGCAAAAACCTTTCTAAAAAAAGAATTCGCTCATCATCATATTGCTTTAATTCAGGTAGACAATCTGTAACTCAGAAGGCTACTAAGGAATGATTCTAATAGACAGAAGTGTTTCTAGAATGGCCAGCAAGTATAGGTACAATATCCCCATCCAGGAAAGTAGTGCCTCTCCATTTATCTTTCAGAATGTGGTCCTCCCTGCCAGGCAATCTCATTTTTTTTTAGGATAATATAAATGAATGAGTCCCAGTGATTTGCCAGGAAATACATCACAGGTAAATAGCATCATTTAATTATTTTGAGCTCCATCCTAATTGTGTTTCACATTGTCTATTCTTTTCTACCACCAAAAGCTGAGATGATGCTAGACATAATATATTAATATAAATTGCTGTTTCAGAAAATGGAAACTATTTTTGGGACAGGCCTTCCAAAGTGGGAGAAGTGGCTATTTACCCTAATGGAACTCAATTTATAAGAGGTATGGGCCTTGGAACCAGTGCCTTTATAACCCATGAGAGGCTGAAAAGCAGAGAGTTTATAAAAGGAGATGAAGTTTATATTCTACTTACAGTGGAAGGTATGTTGACAAATATAATTCAATATAGGCTAGTTTTTTGTTGTTTTTGTTGTGAGCATGTGTTATTTACTATGTTCTTCTGAGTTTCATTTTGAGTATAATATATGGGAGGAAAGGGACATGTGTGGGATATTTTTGGTATGAATCATTAACAATTCAAAAATAACTTAATTTGAAACAGTGAGGATTCCAGAATAAAGAATTAATAACCACTACTACATGGGGCAATAGTGGGAAACTTTAGGCTGGAAAATCTCATTAGAAATAAGTTAAAGTTTAGTTATTATACTCTAAGATTATTCGCTAGGATTCCAGGAATAAAATTATGAAATTAAACTTGAAATGGATTGTCATATCATGTTTCAAATATATATACATTTATGTATATCTATATACACACATATATGCAAACATGTACACACATATATATCTTGGCGGAGATAACATTAATCTATTGTCTTAAAATTTCTTATCCTTAATAGTTAATGGATACATTTTCTAGTAATTCTGGTGGTTTATATGGTAAGATTTTAAGTTCCTTACTATTTTAAAATATTTATTTATTTATTTATTGTCATTATTTTTCAATTTGACCAGAGATACACACACACACACACACACACACACAGAGAGAGAGAGAGAGAGAGAGAGAGAGAGAGAGA